TAAGCCAGAAAGTCAAGGTAAAGATTTAGAATTCACTGTGGCTGCAGTAGGAAGCCATTAGAGAATTTCAAGCAAAAGACACATAAGATCTGATTTATGCCTCAAACACAGACTAGGTAGAAAGCCAATGCAGTTTTACAAACAAAAACTGATAATAACTTCAATTAGAACTGTAGTAGTAAAAATGAGAATTGTTCAGATTCAAGATAATTTTGGAAATAAAGACGCTATGACTTGGTGGCAAAGTAAATGAATATTAAAATAAAATAAAAAATGGCTCCCAGGTTTTTGGCCTTATGATGGTTAATTTTGTATGTTAACTTGACTGGGCCACAGGGTATCCAGATACTTGTTCAAACATTACTCTAGGTCACATTCTGTGAGGGTATTTTGGGGTGAGATGAACACCTGAATCAGCAGACTAAGTAAAATAGATTGCCTTCTCTACTGAGGTAGCCCTCATCAAATCAGGTGAAGGCCAGAATAGAACAAAGTTTAATCCCCCTTTAAGTAAGAGCAAACTCCCTGTGCCCAACTGCCTTGAGCTAGGACATCCATCTTTTCCTACATCTGAACTCAAAACTGTACACCAGCTCTTCCTAGGTCTTAAATAGGCCAACTTTCAGACTAGAACTTATACCATTGGCTCTACTGGTTCTCAAGCCTTCAGATTCAGATTAGAACTAAACCATTAACTATCCTGGGTCCCCAACTTGCTAACTGTAGGTCTTGAAACTTCTCAGCCTCCATAATTACATGGGCCAATTGCTAGTAGTAATAATAACAATATCTTCTATTGGTTCTGTTTCTCTGGGGAACCCTAATATAAGTCTTAACAATTAGTTATATAAGGGAACATTTCATCATTTTTTTTTTTTTTTTTAGAGACAGAGTCTCACTTTATCACCCTCGGTAGAGTGCTGTGGCATCACACAGCTCACAGAAACCTCCAACTCCTGGGCTTAGGCAATTCTCTTCCCTCAGCCTCCCGAGTAGCTGGGACTACAGGCACCCACCACAATGTCCAGCTATTTTTTTGTTGTAGTTTGGCCAGGCTGGGTTTGAACCCACCATCCTCGGTATATGGGGCTGACGCCCTACCCACCTAGCCACAGGTGCTGTCCAGTAAATTTTTATTGAAATAGGGAAGACATGGAAAGGAAGGGGAGAAGCAATAATAATTCTGTTGTGTCCCTGTCTACTGAACTCCCAAGAGGAAATGTTAATTACACAGGTATACAAGTCTGTAGCTAAAGAAGTCTTGACTGGAAACTTAGGTTTAGGAAATATTAGAAAATACACAATATTTAAATTTGTGGGAATGGATAAAATCACCTATAGATATACAATCTAATATAGTAGACACTGGCTACATACAGCTATTTAAACTAATTAAAACTAAATAAAAGTTAAAATCCAATTATTTAGTTGCGCTAGCCCCATTTCAAGGCTCAACAGCCAGAAATTGCTAGCAAATGCCATAAAGGACAGTAGATACAGATTATTTTCATCAGCATAGATTTTATTAGACAGAATAAGCCTAAAGAAATCATCAAAAAGAGAAAGCCATAGACATAATTCTAGTAAAGGAAGTATATGCAAATAAGACTAAAAAGAAAAGACTAGCAAGGTGTTATCAAAGAAGCAGAAAGATAAAAATGTTTCAAGAAAATGTGTAGGTAACCGAATTAATTCAAAGGCTATTAACAACTCAAGTTAGATGAGAAAAGAGAACTGACTACTGGCTTTAACAATACATAGATCATTGCTGACTCTGAAATAAGCAAGTGCAGTAAAAGTTAGTGGAAACAAAATCTAAACAAAGTACTTTGAGAATGTAAGTGGAGGGGGGTTAGAGATACCAACCATAGACAGTTATTTAAGAAATTTTATTTTAAAGAGGAAAGAGAAATGAGTGGTAACCTAAAGGGAATATGGGGTCAGGTCTGGTCCCATCCCCCAGATGGTTGTACTGATGCAGTATTATATATATGCCAACAGGAGTAATTCAATGGAAAGAGATGATGCAAAAAGGAGGAGAACTGCAGAAGATAACTATAATACAAAGTTCCTGAGATGGCCAGAGTATTTAGAATCCAGAGCATAAATAAGAGTTAGCCATAGATAAGATCAATGGCAATCTTCCAGAATATAATGAATGATGAGAACACACTGAGTACAGACAGAGCTTATAAGCTTACTTAATACACAGTCAGCCCTTCTACGTGGGCAAGTTCTATATCTGCAGAGTCAACCAATCATGGATCAAAAGTATTCAGAAAAAGAATAACAAGTAACAACATAACAACTAAAAAAATACTAATTTTAAGATGCAATATAACTATTTATATAGCATGTACATTATAACAGGGATTATAAGTAATCTAAAGATGACTTAAAGTATACTGGAAGATATGCATAGGTTATATGCAAATACTATGCCACTTTACATATGGGACTTGAACATCTTCAGATTTTAGTATCTCAGGGGTCCTGGAACTCTGCAGATACTGTAGGATGACTATATTTGGCGGTCACCTGTACATCTATTTTATGTATACAGTAAGACTATCAGTTAAGAATTGGCACATAGATTTTGTGAAGATTTGTTTGTAGCTTTCGATTTTTTTATTTCATATCATTTGATTTTTGTTGGAGGTGATATTAGTGATATAAGGAGAAATATAGTATCAAACAATGTTCTCAAACCAAAAAAAGGTAAATTTACTAAGGAACTATAATAGCAGTGTTAAATGCACACTTGATAACTACAATCATAGATTTAAAATAAGTCTGGTCAGCATGTTGTACAATATTCCTCCAATAAATTTAATTGCTATGATAAGATTAAGCATATAAATGTATTTACTTAAGATAGTATTTTGCCAGCCATAGATTAAGCATATCATTGTATTTAAACAGGTTAGTCTTTGCCAGATAAGTAGGATGGTAAGGAAGAGCAAAAAAGTCAAGAGAATGGTCACTATGCTACACCACAGGACCTAAACTTGGTAGAAGAAAAGAGAGGTCATGAGTGAGAGGGGCAACTTGAAAGTCATATATTTGTATAAACCTTATTGGGATCCTGAGTCAAACAAAATATTTTTTAAAACAAATGATACTTATAATTGGAAATGTAATATTTTTATATTTGCTACTTTATGCTATTAAGAATTCTTTTCTAGGTATGAAAATATATTACATGTATTATAGATGAATGTATCTGAACTACACTTCAAAATAATAGAGAGTGTGAAGAAGCAGGTGGGGATAAAGATGAAATAAGATTAACCATGAGCTGATAATTGTTTAAACTAGATAACAGGCACATGAGGGTTTATTAGACCATTTGTCTGCTTTTGTACATGTTTAAAATTTTTAATGATAAAACAAGAAAAAGCATGGGTTAATTTAAAATGAAATGTGTATATGTCTAATTATAATTTGTGGGTGAGCATTAGGGAAGTTAGGATTATGGGAGTAGAGTTAGATTGATATAATAATGAAATGATTGTATGAAAAGTTTTGGGATCAGGGTCAGGTGTGCAGGATAATGGGAGAGGGCACGAGCCTCCAGAAAGAAGATAACTATACTGGGGGCTTCACAAGACACCTTGGCATGAACATCAAAGGACTTCAGGAAAAAGGCCTACAAAGACCTGGCTAAAGTCAGTGAGAGCTTCAGGGAAAAGATCTGTAAGGACCTGGCTGGGGGCCTGAAAGGGCTTGGAAAGTCATTTTAAGATTAACTAGGACAGTACCTGCAGCTGATTCATTGAGCAAGAAAGACTAGTTCTTGTGGGCATGAGATAAGAAGATTCAGCTTTTTTCTCCCCAGCTCCTGAGATGAGTAGGGCATCAACTAATTTACCCCACAGGAACATAGACGATTAACTGGGTGGTCACTAGCTCCAAAGTCCATGTTCCCTTTTGCTTTGTTTCCTGTAATCCTGTTAGTGATTCATAAGTATTTTAAGAAGTAAAAGTAATGGAGCAGTGCCTGTGGCTCAAAAGGGTAGGGCGCTAGCCCCATATGCCAGAGGTGGTGGGTTCAAACTCAGTCCCAGCAAAAAAAAAAAGAAGAAGTAAAAGTAATGAAAATAGTTAAAGGACAATCAGGTGGGTAATGGAAAATTAGGGCATGAGAAACCGAAAGGATGACATATATTTTTGTTGCAAATACGCATTTGCCAATCCAGAGAAGTAATAAAAACTGAGTGCATCCAGAGTTCAGGGTCATCACTGTCTCTTGCACCAAGGGCATTGACCCCCTGGGCCCACTCTATAAATACTACTCTATTTCTATTGTCTTATTTTCCTCATTCCCTCATCACTG